TAAGGTAATAAATAGCATGCTCTTTTCGGCCAGACTCGTCATGCTGCCCCAACATGCACCCCATTGAATTATCGAGTACTGTCAAGTATAAGATCAAAGGTCTCCCTTCAACTGGAGGCATCAGAATAGGAGGCTCTTGGAGATATTCTTTGATCCTTTCGAAAGCGGCCTGACATTCATCGTTCCATCTTACCACATGATCTTTCTTCAGTAGCTTGAAGATTAGCTCACAAGTAGCAGTCAGTTGTGAGATGAATCGGGAAATATAGTTCAATCGTCCCAAAAAGCCTCTGACTTCTTTTTCTGTTCGGGGAGCTGGCATTTCCTATATTTCCTTTACCTTTGCAGGATCAACTTGAATACCTTTATCACTTACGACAAAACCCAGCAGCTTACCAGACCTCACCCCGAAGGTGCACTTGTTCGGGTTTAACCTCAGCTTGTACAACTTTAACCTGTCAAATAGCTTCTGAAGGTGGTCAAGATGTTCTTCCTCGGTCTGGGACCTTGCAATCATATCGTTAACGTATACCTCAATCTCATGATGGATCATGTCATGGAACAAAGCGACCATGGCGCGCTGATACGTTTCCCTAACATTCTTCAATCCAAACGGCATGACCTTGTAGCAAAAGGTACCCCATTGAGTAACAAAAGTTGTCTTTTCCATGTCTTCGGGAGCCATTTTGATCTGATTATAACCGGAGAAATCATCCATAAAGGAGAAGACCTTATGTTGTGCGGTGTTGTCAACCAGAACGTCGATATGAGGTAGATGGAAATCATCCTTGGGGCTTGCCCTGTTCAAATCCCTATAGTCAACACACATCTGAACTTTACCATCCTTCTTCGGCACAGGAACTACGTTGGCCACCCACTGTGGGTAAGAAGTAACTGCTAGAAAACCAACGTCAAATTGTTTCATAACCTCAACCTTGATTTTCTCCGACATCTCTGGACGCATTCGGCGAACCTTCTGTTTCACTGGAGGACAGTCTTCCTTGGTAGGCAGACGGTGAACCACAATATCAGTATCCAAACCAGGCATATCTTCATAAGACCAGTCAAAGATCTCGACGTAGTCACACAACATCTGAATCAACCGTTGCTTAACATTGGACTCCAGATTTGCATCGATCTTGACCTCTTTCTTGTCTATCTCTGTACCCAGATTCACTGTTTCCACTGGCTCTTTATGCGGCTGTATGGCCCTCTCTTCCTGAAGTAACGGTCTAGCAAGTTCACCAGGCACTTCGCAATCATCTTCACCTTCGTATTCGACTAAGTTGATCAGACTTTCGAAGTCATAACCGGCAGTAGCAGAGTCGTTATCAGTGAGATCCAGAGTGGATGTAGACCTGTATATGTGGGTGTGTGTAAAATAGTTGTTTTGCAATATATAACAAAAGAAAAACAAGGAGCGCAAAATTTGAAATGCAAGAAAACGTCCAATGCTTTTATTAATGATATATGAAAATGGCAAACATCAAGCCCTCACAAACAAAGCCACAGTGCCTCGGGTAAGACACCAGGCCGTAAAAGTTTAAAAATTGTCTGTTACAAATTCAAAACAAAAGTCTCATTACTGTGTAATAAAATAAATTGGCACGAAGTCTTTTGCCTTCCAATTGCTTAGTCTACCATCGGCAGTTGGGAAAATCCAGCTGTCAAACTCAGATTCTTCATCGCCGTCTTCAATGGCATTTATTCTTGAATTGCTGATAAACAGGGGAGGTCCTCTGATCCGTGCACGTCGTACATCCCTTTGAGCTTCTGCAGTGAAACCCAAACCAAACTTGCTAGTCTTATGTGCAAAATCAGGGAGTTGGCCCTAATTTGCACACCCACCTTTCTCAACAACAGCCTAGGCATCCTTGAAGGAAGCCATCTTCACTGGAGGATCTTCAACAACAGTTTCAGTTAATGCCAGCGTCTGGGGCACTTCTTCAAAATGTTGAAACGGGGTCTCAATGAACTCCCCGTCCATCTCTAAATATCGGAAAGAGTTGAGGTGGCTCACCATGTACTCTTCTTCTCCTCGTACCGTCACAATTTTCCCTTTCACTGGGTATTTCAGCATATGGTGGAGTGTAGAAGTTACTGCCCCAACTTTGTGGATCCACGGGCGACCCAGCAAACAAGAATAAGATGGCCGAATGTCCATCACATAGAATGTAGACGCGAAGATCTGAGAACCAACCTTAATCAGAATATCTACTTCTCCATGTACCATTCTCTTGGACCCGTCAAAGGCCCTAACAACAATGTTACTCGGCTTCAACTCTAACCCTTCACAATATAACCGGTCCAATGCCTTCTTAGGTAAAACATTCAGCGAGGACCCAGTATCCACCAACACATGAGCTAGAGTAGTGCCCTTGCATTCAATGGAGACATGCAGGGCGTTATTATGATTCTTCCCCTTAGCCGTCAAATCTGCGTCGGAGAAACCCAACTCATTATCCGCTGTCAGACTAGCCACACAATCTTTAAACTGATCAGATGATGTCTCCTGCGGCACGTGCGCAGTTTTCAGGAAAGCAATCAGAGCCTTAGCATGGGCCTCTGAACATAATAATAAGGACAACATAGAGATCTTGGACGGGGTTTTCCCCAGCTGTTCGACTACATTGTAATCGCTTTTCTTGATGATCTTTAAAATCTCCTCTATCTCCTGTCTAGAGGCTTCAACAGTAATCTTCTTTGGTGCCTCTGTCCAGGCAGGCTCATCGATGGTCCCTTTGCCCCGAGTGTTAGATGACTCGGCAACAGGGTTAAGAATTGGAACATGAACAGGAACAGTAGCAGATGTCCTGGCAGGTGTAATAACAACAGGCTTCCGAACAGTTGGTGGAGAGATCTCAAGGGAGAAAAGTCTTCCGTTGCGGGTGACTTTACTAGATCCAACAATATTGCTGACGTCATTATCAGCCTCTTCATCCTTCAAATCTTGTTTAACCCCGTGATAGTATACGTCAGCCCCATAGTGCCAAGGGACAGCTTTATCTGGTGTATAGGGGATAGGCCCAGGAACAGTAATGATCAAGGGAGCAATTCTCGGAACAAATGTAATTCTAACAAGCATTCTCGAGGAAGCCTTGGAAGAATTGTCGAAAATGGTGATTATAGAAATGTCTTCAACAGGGACCAAAGGAACAATAGTCTTCTCAAACAGAATTTATTTATTATCCATCAGGCGTTGGACACCTGACTTCAAAAGATGGCAACCAGTAGGTAGGACAGAACACAGACGGCAATTCGCCATAGCCCGGAAATAAACCGGCTAACAGAAGGTTCTTCTTCACGGTCATCAATGGAGTAGCAATGTCTTTCACAGAAACCACAAACGAGTCTTCATCTACATCATTCACTCCATGCTTGGGCATAGGAGCAGTCACAACATTAGGCTTTTCGGGCGCTTTGAACTCAATCTCCTTAGCATCAATCAAATCTTGTACCTTATTCTTCAAAACCCAACAATCATTCGTATCGTGCCCCAGGCTATCAGAGTGAAAAGCACAGCAGGCGTTTGGATTGTACATCGGTGATGTTGTATTGGGATTCTTCGGGGCCTCCTTCGGAATCACCAAGTTGGTCTTCAATAACTGCGGCAGAATCTGAGACAGGGTCATATGAAGCTGAGTGAATTGTCTTTGCGGCCTCTCGGCCCTTGGCTGATTATTGCGCTGAGGAGAAACAGCAGGTCTTGATATCACCACCACATTAACTGCTTGGCGGCGCTCAGGTCTATTATGGCTCTTTGCGTTGTAAACTGCGCTTGACTCCTTCTTAAAAGGCTTCTTCTCAGTGCCTGATGATGCACCCTTTTGTATTTTACCGCTCTTGATATCGGCTTCAACTCTTTCCCCAGTCATTATTAACTCAGTAAAACCTCACGATGAACTTCGAATCAGATGGTTGAAATACGGACCAGACAAGGTCCCCAGAAACATATCCACTAACTCCCTGTCAGCCAGCGGGGGTTGTACTCTTCCAGCAAGGTCCCTCCATTTCTGAGCGTAGTCTTTGAAACCTTTGCTCGCACCCATAGACATACCCTGAAGTTGGGTACGCGTGGGAGCGAGGTCGGAATTGTATTGGTACTGCTTGTAAAAAGCAGCAGCAAGGTCTTCCCAATTACAGATACTAGCTTCTTCCAGCTGGTAAAACCATTCAAGTTGAGTTCCTGAGAGACAATCTTGAAAGAAGTGGATCCAGAGGTTCTTATCAGTAGTGTATGGTTGGATCTTTCTAACATACGAGCGAAGGTGCAGCTTTGGGCAAGAAACCCCGTCGTATTTAGCAAAGATTGGTGCTTTAAACTTGTGGGGAATCACCACCCCAGATGATAAACCAAAATCACCAAAGTCCAATCCAGGTACCTTCTGGATCTCCATCGCACTTAACCGGTCTTCAAGCTGTTTATACATATCCTCAGTCGGAGGATACTGGTCTTCGTCAAAGTCAGTCTCATTGTCAGATACCACAGGGCTAGGAGCCCTCCTTTCTTCTTGGTTTTCTCCCCCTCCAGATGAGTGGGATAAATTGACTTCATCTCGCAAATTATTACCAAATCTACGATCCATGTTCAGGAGGACCGTCTTCTTCTTCTTCTTCTTCTTCTTCTTCTTCTTCTTATCCTTCAAGATAAGAGTCTTCAGATCTTGCTGACTCTTAGCCAAATTCATGAACATTTCCTGGAACTGGGCGTTTTGAGCTTGCAGAGCCTTGATGGCTTGTTCAGTTGATGTTTCAGAAGACATGATGTGCTGAAATAAATAGAGAAGAAGATAAGAGACCTGTAAGGGTACCTGTTATGAGGTGCATGGAATGAAATGCGTATGATATGATTTCAAAGACGTTGAGAGATTCAAATTCGTAAACCAAAATGAAACACACTTTTATTAGATAAATTTGAAACAATGTTTAATAAATGCCTTTAAGGCGTTACAAAAAGAAATACTGAAAGGTAAATCAAAACTAGAAATAACAAAAAGACATCAGCGCTCCCATGGTCGTTTGCCTCCTGTGCTGACATAGTCATTGAGGACCTTCTCATTCTCCAGCTGTCTTGTAAGCTTTAGAATCTTCCGCTCCTGCTCGTGATACTTTTCTCTGTAAGTATCTCGTTCTTCTCTCAACTGCATCCAAGACCTCTTTAATGCCCCAATATCAGTAGGCATGTGTGGATGGAGGATGGTAGGTGTAAGTATCTCGTTCTTCTTCTTAATGAGATTGGCCATATAAACTAGGAAACCCATCGAGCTAAGAACTTCAACGACGAAACACCACTCCAATCTATCATATGTTTTTAACATATCAAGTTTCAAAGGCATGACGCCGCGTTTCCCATCTGTCTTCTTCTTCATCCAATGAAAACATTTCATTGCAACCAACACGTTATTCGTTATAAGCGTACCTTTAACAAAGCCACCCCGCTCTTCATCAATAATCTCAGGGAGAATGTGTTTAATCATGTTAGCAACAGTCTTTGTAACCAACTTCATCACCATATTGCATAGACTAATGGGTCCGAAGTCCTTTGGGCTAGCAGGATTTTTACACTTCGGGATAAGGACTATGTGAGTATTATTAATAGCTCTCAGGTCTTTTTGGTTGTTAAAGACTTCCAACACCGTACTGCTAATTTCAGGACCAATTATATGCCAAAATTTCTGAAGAAACAAGATTGAAAGACCATTTGGGCCTGGGGCTTTAAGTGGGTCCATCTGGAAAAGATCACCCTTCACCTCTTGAGCAGTAAAAATACTCTCACACCATCTGATGTGCCCCGGTTGCAACTTTCCTTGCACCACTAAATAAATCTCTTGATAATTTGTGGAAATAGATGAGGAAAAAAGATCGGAGAAGTAACTCACCAGTAATCTCTCACAATGAAAATCACCTTTCCACCAACACCCGTTTTCATCTTTCAACTTTTTAATCGCATTGATTTTCCACCTTTGATTAGTTTTCCCATGGAAAACTTCGTATTTCTATCTCCATGCTTCAACCATATTGCCCCACTGGTGTGTAAGAAAAATAAATAAATATTAGTTCTTCCGAGTTGCAGAAACCTCTAGTTTATTTGTTTTAAAATAGTATTTCTCTCACAATGAATTTTTTTTTTTGCAGATATTAATACGAGATACAAATATTTAAATAGTATTTATTTTAAAATTATTAAAATTATATCATTTACGAAATAATGATTCTTGAGAATAAAAAAAAGAATTTTTTTTTATCAAATATGGAAATAATTTATCTTGATAGTAATATTTCAAAGATCATTGTCATAGAATTATACCATTGAAATTCATTAAAAAGATGTAAAATGAAATTAATTAATAATAATTTTATATTTGTTTGTGATAAGTCAATTTTATAAATGGAAAAATCAAATATTTTTTAAGTTTATTTTATATTATATAATTTTAAATAATTTGTTTTCTAATTTTTCTTTTTCTATATTGTGTTTGTTCAATCCTGATTGTGATTTATATAATTTTCATTACAAAAATCCACAAATTATTAATATTTTATTATAATATTATTAAATTTTAATATAGTTATATGTTAATTAACAAGTAAAAATTACTATTTATAAAACTCTGTTTTCCGTTAATATAATTTTCAAAATAGAATAATGAATATAATTAAAATTATCGTTAATGACTAATATATAATTATATTAATTTTTTATAATAATACTAAATGTACACGGTTTTAGTTATCATATAATTATATTAGTGATTTTTATATAAAATATATAGATTGATTAAACTATTATATATTTGTAATATATATAATTTTTTATCAAAATTTATTTTATATTATATTTTAAGAAATAAAATATTAAATTTGGTGTCTTTTAAAAATAATATAATGATAATAAATTGAAAATATTTAGCTTTTATATAAAAAAACAATTCATATAATTATATATTTATCTTAAATTTTAATATTTAAATATATTATTTTCTTTCTTTTGAAAATAATGATAATAAAAAAAAACTATAATTGTATTATTATTTAATAATTAACATATATTATACTCACGACTATAATAAATATGTAATAATATTAATACTATATGGATTAATATATGATAACATTGATATTTTTAGTAGTACATAATAACATAAATTTTTATTTTTAAAATACATAAAACATATAATGTAAATAAAATATATCATTTATAAAATTATTTTCAACCGATTTTTACTAGTTTTAAGAGGAAATAAATCAAAAAAAAAAATTCTTAAAATACGATGTAAATTAATTTTTTGAAGATTACATAAATCACAAATAAAGAGGACTATAGGAAGAGAAACCAATTTAGACCATTAATTTTAAAGAAGAGATATTTAATAGTTAAGATTTATTGTTCTCATTTTTTAAACTAATCGAGTGTTCTCACTTTAGTCGTTCCATATATATATATATATATATATATATATATATATATATATATATATATATATATATATATATATATATATATATATATATATATATATATATATATATATATATATATATATATATATATATATATATATATATATATATATATATATATATATATATATATATATATATATATATATATATATATATATATATATATATATATATATATATATATATATATATATATATATATATATATATATATATATATATATATATATATATATATATATATATATATATATATATATATATATATATATATATATATATATATATTTTAATAATTAATTTGATTTCTCTTTTAATAATATATTATTTTATAATCTCTTTTTTAATAATTAATTTATTTTTCAATAGTATATTATTTTTTAATTTTTTTTCAATAATTATTTTATTTTTGTTTTCTTATAAAAACAAAACGATTTTTATAAAAAATAAAAATCTTAATTGAATGAAAATAAAAACTTTCTCATTCAATTCCTACCTGCAATGTTTATATTATTTTCTAAAAAAAGACAATAATAGAATGACGATATAAAAATATTAATGGAATGACAATAAAAAAATTGGATAACAATAATAAGTGATATCAAAATTTTAATTTATAAAAAAAATATTAGTATTATTTTTATGATAAAATATTATCAATTATACAAAAGTAATATTATAAATATTTGTTTTTGATAAAAACACGGGACAATAATGATAGGTAAATACACAAATTTGATATAGTAGTTTTAGTTCTATAAAAATTAATTCAATCAATTAAATATAATATTTTTTATAAATTTATTTAAAACAATATCATAAACTTCATGAAAAAATTATCTAATATTATGACATAATACAAGAAAAAATACTCAACTCATTATAATAAAAATTTAAAACGATTCATTTTAATTTTAAATTAAAATATAAGAAATATTTATCTAGTTTTTAATTCAAATTATATAAAAAATACTTAACTCCTTATAATAAGAGTTATAATTATTACCTCTAATATTATTTTACCTCATTGGCTTATCTAAATTTATTTACTACAATCAAATCATAGGTTGATGATTAAGTTTTTGTATTATTTAATTTATATATTTTCTACATCTATATACCATATTTTTCTTTAGATATTTCTACTTTTTTTTAGTTGATATTTAATTCAATGAACATTATTTTGTTGCACATTTTGACAAAGCACAATTACCTTTTAAATTAAATTTATATTTTTATGAAATCATAATTTAATTTTTTTTTTTAATTTGTATATTTTTTATATATATATATTTTAATAATCACTGTATTATATTTATTTACTATTTATAATAATATTGTACGATCTGGACATATTTATTATTTAAAACAATATTGAACGATCCATACGAACATAGGTAGATGATTACTTAACTATTTTCTTTATTTTTCTACTAAAATATATATTTTCGATTGATCGATACTATTTAATTTGTATATCTTTTATATATATATTTTTTAGCCATCATTATATATAATATTTATTATATATATATATATATATATATATATATATATATATATATATATATATATATATATATATATATATATATATATATATATATATATATATATATATATATATATATATATATATATATATATATATATATATATATATATGAAGTGTACTAGACCTTATACTCATATTTTTCAACATAATTTTTATGTATATTCTGAAAACTAATACAATTTAAAAATTTAATTGAAATTTATGTGACAATTATCATTGAAAGTTTTTATATATTTTTATATGTATTTTTTAGCCATAATTATATAATATTTATTTAATATTTATATCGATTTTATGCAACTCATGCATTGGTGATTCTCTAATCATGTAATCTAACTATTATAAATATTAAGTAATATCTAAAGTTAAATACCATAAACATATTATGGTTTATAACTTTATCTCCAATATTCCATGTTTAAACTGAAAAAATAAATAATCATTCTATTTCAGATAATAAAAATGAAATTGTGTGATTCGTACGAACGCGCAAGTCTTTTATTAATTTTATATGATTGATTGATTTATTAATTAATTTAAATTAATTTATTAAAATTTCTAATTCAATTGATTAAATCTATTTTCAAACGTTTCTTTTCCGATGTCTTTAAAAGGAATATATCAATATATTTTAAAATAGAAGTACATATTACTACAAACTTATATACTTACCTAGTTATTGAAAATAAATTTCTTGATATTGACATTATTAAAGTTGGATTTAAGTCACAGTAAAGAAAATTACTTCCTCAACTTTCTTAAAAGATCCTAAAAAGTTCGAGGTTATTCATACGTCGACCTCATAATCCGAAAGTGTGATTTGCTCATTTTAATTTCTTAAGTTTGTACATAAAGTCAAATATATTTTTATGAGTTTAATTATTATGTGTGGTTACTGTAAGACTTTTTTATACTAACAGTGTATTACAATCATTTAATTATATTATTTTAAAAAATAAAATAAAAACAAAATATTTTCAAAAATTTCGAGAGATTATTTGGTACACACCAAGCTGTTGAATAAAATTTGTTTCAATGGTTAATAACGGCAAGATACTGTTGCTGACATAAATGAGTATGAATTGTGATCATAATAAATAAAGACTATTAAGCCATTGTTTTCAACTTCTCCATAAATGAATTATTTATCATGTTATTGATAGGTACACGTTTGTAGAAATAATTTTAATAACTTCAATGATTTGAGTCACTCTTGAAAGTTCAGATCTCTTGCATTTCCGTTGTTGAACTATTGCACTTCTTTATTGAGTTAATAAAAAAACACAAATAAATAAAAAAGGAAATTTTCATTTTGGTTATTTATGTTGGTGTACCAAAGGTCAAAGATGAAAAATAAAAATGAAAGAAGAGAGAGAAAGACAATTATATTATAGAAATTTGTTGAAAAAGAAATTATATATTAAAATTTCTTATTAAAATTTTAATTACAAAATTATTTATATATATAAAATAAACTGACACGTATGTCCTAACAAAAATAAATTGAATAGCTAAGTTAAAACAAATTAGGACTCCAAAAGTTAAACATGCTTCTGGAACACTACCTTAGAAGCTTCTGTTCCTGATTAACACAAATAGTTCTGCATATGAAATACTTCTAATATCACTCCTTAATTCATATTTAACTAATTAAATTCTAAAACATAAATTTCATCCCTCAAATAGATAAAGTGTTCAATTTTGATAAAT